GAGAAGATGACGACGAACGAGGAACGACGGATTGTGTAGTCTGGGTCGTCCGCGCCGGAGGACAGACAAAACAGACGGACGGTGCCGTTCCGTTCCCAGGGATTCTCGGGACTCGGGACAATTTTTAGTCAGTCCCTTTGCAGAATCTTCCCTACATCTATTCTTCTGCTGAATAAATATTAAATATGGAAAGGCCCCATAGTCTTTGTAAGCATTTATTGAGCAGTCTGTGATACTGGATATAAAAGAAACATTTCAAAAACGAGGCTATCAAACCAAACGACTGCTCATTGCCATCAATAAAAGAGTAGGCAGGCTATCTGTAGGGTACCTTTTTTAACATGAAAGTACAATGAAGCCTGTTTTCAGAGGGATTATTGCCAATAACCCACTTCACATTTGCTATTTGCTGTTCAGTCATCTAGAACTGAAGTTTCACACGGTTTCAGCCCTACGATGCAGTTACGAGTTAGTGAGTCAATGTAGTAATAAGGTATTCGGGGAATTACTCTATCAATAAGGTATTGTAAAGAGTAGACCAAAAGAGATTGAGATAATCATCCGGACAGGTAGAAATGTTACAAGTGCAAACGATGTTCGCCCTGTTGTAACTGAAGCTCTCCTAGCAGATGGGCAGATGGTTTTTCCCTTGATTTGTCTGTCAGACAGGACAAGAGCTATCAGATTACAAAAGTAGAAAAAAGTGAATTTTTTCAGCCAGAGTCACATCCTATTTATATAATTGCCAGAAATTTGAGTAAGACATCCGGACAGGAACAAGTGATGCATGCCAATGATGTCTGTGATTGGTGGACTGCGGTCATTTCCCAGTCACCAAGCAACCAGGTTATTTAAAATAAATTTTATAAAAAAAGATCTTTCTCTCATTATCAAAGAGTCCAACAGAATTGCTTCTGATTGTAGTGAGAATAACCTTGAATAACAAAGCCCTCTGAAATCCTCTGGACCGGAAAAAACCGGCTTTAATTCTGATGACATTATCAATCCTTTTCAGAGAGGGTTTTCAAATTATCATAAATTATCATGGAATAATCAAATGATCACGGTCAATCTAGGCAATTTGAATGGGTTCAGAGCACAAGGTATCAAGATAACCACCTGATTTTCTCGAGCCATAAGTAAGCTCCCAGAATTATCTTGGATTACAGAATTGGCCTAAAGCTGAAGAGAGTAAGTTACGAAGTTATTCGATCCATTACAGGTATTAATTTTGGTCTCCATACTTGTAAACAACATTAAGAATTAATGAATTACCTATGTCTCCATTTCAGGCAAATCAGTATCACATCATAAGTAAAAGGTTCCGCTGATTAGTCACCTTACCGTCTTCTGGTTTTGCACAAAGTAAATGCGCAACTGATCCGAGAAACCAAGTATACCAGTAAAGTGAAACAGTAAATCGATGTCTTGCCTTGATTTAAAAGATATAGAAGTTCGAGGGTCTCTTCCTGTGACAATGGGTAGTATTTATGACGACTCTGCCGGCTGCTTGATTGCTTTGATCGTGACGTGAGGAGTGGCGCCTGACATACGGAAACTGTTACTGCATAAATATAAATTACTNGTATTTGTTGGTAAATCTATCATTGCAAGCAAGTAGAAATCCAAGGGATCCTGAGAGATCAACAAAAATGGTGAAATTCAAGTAGTTACAAAACTTAAATTGGTAAGAGCCACTTCAATTTATGGGATGCACATAGGGCAATCTCGTGCTGGATGACCTGTATGATGGCCCGAACTTTCTGAATTTTCTTCGATATCGCTCCTCCATTACAAAAACAGGTATTAGGGCTTTGAGTTCACGTTTTTAGGTCTACTTGATTTGGCTTTCTGGAAACCTGAGCTGAAAACCATTTCCATTCTGCTTGTAGGAAAAATTTGCAGCCATGCGATATCCTTTCCCTCATGTTTAAGAGGCACAGGTCCAATTTCCTGAATTTCAGACAAACCTCCGGAAATCTTAAGAAGAAAAAAGTCTGACTTCTAGAGAGGTTTGTTGAGAATGTCCTTGGCGTTTTCGGGGGGTTAGGGGGGCATAGGGTATCGTAGCAGCCACTGGTGCCGATATTGTACTCGTTGTCAATGTTGGCATAGAAAGTTTGAGTGGAATAGAAATCCTGCCCTCCTTTCTTTCTCATGGAATCAGTAATATTGAAATATTTGCATATTCATAAGTAATGTATTGACATTAACTTTTAAACAAGTCAGTGTTTGATAGGGCATAAGGGGATCCAATCCTTTTCAGTCGAGGGGCCGCGAAGATCCCCCATCATAAACCGTCCATTACTTAATAACACTGAAAAAGCGTTCCGATCACCATGAAAGAACTACACAGAGCGGTCAGCACTTTATACTTCAATTACAAAAAGTTCGTAGTACAAAGGGGCTTTGTTAGCACACTGTCCTACAATCGTAGCAAGCGGGCAGGCGTTTTCGTCATCTCGCGCTAATCGATACTAAGGGTCCCTCTAGAAACAGCGCGGTAAAAACGCAATTTTTGAATTTTTCCATTTCATGAATGCAGTCCAACTTTCTTGAGGTGGCTCAAAAAAAAAGAAGTCCCAGTTTGGAGGCCTAATTTTTAAAGGGAAGGGGGTGAGGGTGGGAGGGTGTCGTGTCAAGTCGTGAAAACTTCATTGTCAATTTCTTCTAGGGCTATGCTAGCCGTATGACAGAACGGCAAGCATTAACAGCCACTTTTACACAGCACTTCATACGTCAGCACTGAACAGGTGCATTTTTACAGAAAATGATAGGAAAATTGTCCCAGAAACGTACACATAATTAGTAATTTCAATTACGAAAGTTCGTGAGAATTGTATGGTATTGAAGGAAGTAAAGTCGAACTAGTTTCGTTGCTGTATAGTAAATTGACACAGAAAGCTCTGAAACACAATTTTTCTGAATGTTTTCATTCACCTTTTTATAATTCGATTGCGATCACGGTCGTCGAAAATTGGGATTCTGTATGACTCTTGAGAATTAAGTGGGTCCTGCTAGGATTATCTTTTCATATCCACCAAGGGTGCGTCAGATAACTCACAAAGACGGGAATGACTGAACGCATGGCTGAACCCGTAGAGAAACGGACGAAAACGCTCGAATAAGTAGAAGTAGATAAACGCAACAAGTAGGAGCAGATAGAGCTGTTCAAGGAAACGTAACCGGGACCTGTTGAAGACGGATACTTCTCTCTTTGGGTAGTAATAGAGAAAACTATTGATTAAAAATTTTGCGAACCACAAGTGGTGTAGGATTTGGTAGCATCCGAACCAGTTTCATTCCAACCCGATGTAGAATTCATGGACAATCTCAATCGAAAGGGCTCATCACATCAAGCCTAGCCGTAACACGATGGGACCAGGGTAGTCGGGAAGAGAAACCTAAGCGATAATCACAATGTTACGAAAGAAGGGTAGAACACTGGGCCTATCACAGAATCTTTTCTGTTTATTGGTATTAAGTGGTAATCATTTACCACAGACGTTAATATCATTTCCGGTATGAACTGTGAAAACCCCTTGAAAAGTACAGATCTAGTAAACTTCCTATATGTTTGTGTGGACCCGAAAATATGCAAATTTCATGAGCTCTACCCGTCAACAAACTTCTTATCGTCCTGTCTCACTACATTCTCCTTACTTTACTTCAATAATATACGAAAAACAAACATGGATTTGCTTCGGAGTAAATCAAATTCCACAAACGTCATAAGCAAACTCGAGGTTATTGCAAAACCTCACATCATCAAAAAGTTCAATTCAGAAAAACCCCTATTTACTACCGGATTTGTTTATACATTAGGCCTTTGTTTCGATTTTTAAACTAGTTAGATGAAAATTTGTTGGTGTTCCCTGAGAGGTCGAACCTATTGCTGTTAATGAATAAAAAATTGGTGAAAAAACTAGAAATACATGTTCCAAAGGGGATAAGGTCATGATTCTGAAATTCGAGTGTCTATTGGGAAAAGCTTCGAGTGGACACAATATATGTCACATAACTTTTCCCTAACCTGGGAGTTCACCTAGCTTTCTCCGCTCGCGATTTTTGTTCTAGGGCTGACATCTATACTAAAAAGGACTTCTCCTTCCACCAATTTATCAAAAAGCAATTTCAAAGTGAATAAATACTTAGCAATACAATTAAGCCCAACTTGTATTCGAAACAGCTCAGCAGGTACTTCAAGAGACATTAACCCAAAAGAAAAAATCATCCTAGTCAAGTCCAGCTAGTAAAATTATTCATGCTTCGAGTATTTTTTCTTGATTGTTGCCATAAGAAGCGAAGGACAATCCTGAAGAAGTGAGAAATCGTTAACTATCCAATGGCTGGGATGAAATAAATAATGAGGGAAGAACAGAGGCGTTTAAAGAACTGTTTTGAAAGTAGGGCTATTTAGTGGCATTTTTCCGTACTAAATACCTTTTGCTAATTTAAGCTTCAATCTGAACAGAAGCTCCAGGATAATTATTATCGAGCTAAGCCGCAGATGAAGAAATTGTAATCAATACATATTTTTTTGGTTGATTTTCAATTCTGGAGAGAAACCGCACTGTTACATTCATTACAGTATACGAGAACGAGCAAATGATAATACGGTAGAGAATAAATGAAGAAAAAGAATTAAAACCGACTTTTTCGTATCCGACCTCGTCTTGACTCGCCGATCTGGTCAAAGGCATCATCGACAATGCTCGTTGCCGCGGTTGACGAGTTCGCAGCAGACCCTGAACATTCTCTGAATTGCCCTTGGCAATGCAATACACATGAGAAACTCAGAGAATGAACTTTTAAGAATTACAGTAACTAGTAAAGACACAAACAAACAATCCACAAATATCATGTTCCGTACAAATTTCCGTTTCAACATGTTGTTTATATGGCCTTATGTAAACTATTTCGAGGAGACACCGAATGAGTAGCAAGAAAATGTCAATTGAGTAGACGAATCGATCAAATAATGTAAAAACATGATATAAATGGAGATCAAAGTTTCACAGTGTAATTGTAATCAACTTTAACTATTTGACCCACCACGTCAAAGAAAATTTTTTTCGTAATTAAGCAGCAACATTGAATCTAGGCGAATACAAATCGCCATTTCAATTGTGACTTGAAAAAATGCAGACTACGAAAGTCTTTTCCATTATCTTCATTCAGTAGGTCGTAATTTAAATCATTGTTTTTCTTATAATTATGATAGACTACCAAATTACATGAAATTCTTGAATGCGAGTACTTGGTGGGAACCAAATTTTCCGGAGAACCACCACATTCAAAAATAGGTGAGGGCATGGCTCCACCTACCAGCCAGTTATTCACTTTTAATCCTGAACAAAAAAAAACGATTACTTTTAACAGTTCAATGTGGATCTCATTCTTTTGCTTATTCGTTATTTATACATTAGTATTTGTTTATTTTACAACGGCTTGTTTGCATGACCTTTTTGGGAAGCGGTCTACACGACGAATTTACTAACGAGAAAGTTGATAATGTAAAACTAGGATTAGAGAGTTTTTTTGTCTCCACTTGCTGAAGAAGAATGTTTCTGTAAACTCAATTCTCCCAAAGTTTACGTTATGCAACAGTAAACAACCCACTTTCACACACAAAAGAATCAATGATTTTGAAACACATAATTTACTTCTTCCAGGAGTAATTCTGAAGCTCTTGATTGAATCATTGATTATAATGTATACTCTCTAGAAAAAAAAAACTCGAAAGCAGCAGCAGTAGAAAGGGGTGTTTCCAATAGCTGACCTAACCAGTTAAAGTAGTTAACGGTGAAGGAAATAGTAAGTTTATTGTTGTTTGTTGTGGAAGAAGGCCAGGTTAAATTACAGCTCTACATACGATACAAATATAATCCGAAAAGGTTCAGAATTTATGACCCTGCTCTGAAAAGCGCTTATGAATCAATCAGTTTGTTTACTGGTTTACTCGTTTATTTATCAGAGTGAGTTCTGCGTAAATTATGAATGATACGGAGTGATATTGGTATCTGATTATGAGTAGTAACCTTCTTTGTGCTTATAGATTGAGTTTATACTTGTTCTACGCACATTGCTAACTTGGTTTCATAGTTCTGGGGATCAGACTCTACGGAAAGGATAGATTGAGGTGGCGATCCAAGGGCGGAATGTCGCCCACCTCCTAGGGCTCAGACGGCCTTCATTTCTGTCTAAACAGCTCCTGGGAAAGAGTAGAGCCGGCTATTCAACATTGTTTTGACTTTGCTGCGGAAACATAACCAAGAAGGGCGAATACGAGACACTAAGTCAGAATATACATACACACGCGTAGCCATGACTGCTACAACGCTGGCAAACGACAAAAGTAGAAGACGGAAGAGGGGACATTGAGGGGTCATGTACAAGTTATGGTGGGACAAGCGGTTCTGGAAGCTCAAACACCAGCTATAAAATGTAAGCTCAGAGGAATTGCCGAATAATTATTGTGGGTTTAGAGCTTTAAAATTTTCATGTTCAGCAACTTTTTTCTACTCCCACACATTTTGAACGTTGTGAACTCTGATTACATTGAGTATGGTATATTGAGGAAGAAACAAGAATTTTTCGTGCCTTTGTTGGAATTAGTCGTAAAAAACTGATTAAAATTGGACCTTTGGATACTGTTGCGCCAAAAGGACCTGGAACTTTCTATTTGTGGAGGACCTAGTCATTTATAGAGCCCCCTAAACTGGCATATGACATTATGGCGAGGTATTGCTTTGAAGAAATCCGTTTTCTGTCTTCAAAGATCCTAACTATCCATTTATGTGGTAAATCACTGACACTCACCTCTACCAGTTCGTTCTAAAGTAAATGCGGGCCTTGAAAAGTATCTCATACTTACATATTCTACAAAAAAATATCTGAATGTTTTTTTCCAGAATAATGAAAAGCCTCTCTCCTCATGCCATCATTTTTTATAAATGGTATGGAATTGAAATTAAATATATTACTGAGTAAAGTTACATGTCAGGAGGAACAATGATTGCATCCAAAAATTTACTGGTTCGAAGACAATTTTGTACAGTGCAAGTAAAATATCAAACATGAATAAACGGATAGCTTATTAGTATAAAGCGGAATATCATCAAAAAGCAGAGCTGAGGAGCTGCTCTTTGATGCACTGGGGTGGACCTGTTTCATGAACTTCGTGGTTACGAGCTCATTATCGAAAAGGTGAGAAAAATCGTAAACGACCTATTGTCGGTAAAGTTGTTGGTTCAAGAGCTTCCCTAGATGAAAAATGCCGATTCAGCTGCTTAGTGTTTATATAAAAAATNTCATTCGTTCACACAATCTTCTAACTGTTGACTCTGGAAAGACTGAGGATTGAGGAAAAAGGTCCACAAGTGGATACCACACAGTTAGCATGAGCATCAGCAAATGCCATACTGAGGAATCCTATTCGCTCCTCCTTTGCAAGAAAAAGGACTCAGTTATGGAGTGTGATATCACGAAAAATGGAAAGAAATGGATACTTTAAGATATCTGACAGCGATGGGTCTGCCACAAAGCCACATACCATTTTTTAAACGGAAATGCACTAAAACAAGGTTATGCTAACCGTTTGGAGGCTTCTTGCTGGCCCTACCCAGCGCTGCAGACGATTCTACGACAGCAAAAAGCAAGTGGTTTCCAGGAATAGAGAATTGAAAAAAATGGTAGCAACAGAAGAACCAATTTACCAATCTGCTCGGAAGTCCAAGTTCGGGTCCCGCCCGAGGCCGAATGTTGCCCGTAACTTATCACCTTCGTGAGGGAAGATCCCAATTTTTAATATTTATAGAAATTCATGATTGCATGACCCACAGGTCCATAACCGAAAAAACGAAGTGAACAGTCAAAATTGGTCCCACCAGTGGCTAGTCCCATTTGAGCATCAACTCCACGAATCGATCAATTTAACTGTGAGAAATGAAAAATTCAGAATCAAAACTCCGAAAAAAACCTTGAACCGAGCCATGATGGTAAAACCCTTCAATGGACTGTTTACTGTAGGACCATCTGAACTTAAAGAGAGGTTTTTTGTAAAAAAAATTTTTTTTGAGCGGAAATACTTTACAAAATATTACTTTTAACATCAAAGGTCTAAATGCTGTGGTGGGGAACCTATTATTAGCTGGTATACATAACAATGACAATGGATACAGAAGAGTTGTTCGAAAACAACTGGTAAGTACTTGTGTTCATCGTTGTGTAAAGTGCGTTGCACTGAGGTTATGGGTACCATTTAGATTTCCATTGATCCACTGAAGAACTCGTCATTCGTGCTTCTTTTTTAACGCCCACAAGATTTTTCGATAAAATTCGTCCAAAATTCGTCCAGAGTACGGTATTTGAACATGTTCGGGATGCACGTGCTTGCAGTTACTACACAACCGCCATGTGCACACGTAAATCAGTTCTTCGGATAGATTACCAAAATGAAACTTTAAATAAAAGGCTGAAAACCAAAGTTCGGCGTAAAATTTTACTTTTTCTTAGTGATAATGGACTTTGAAAACCCCAGTGGGATAGAAGCGGTCCTACTTCACCCTCAGAATTGTGTTTCTCATAATAATTAGTCGTCACCTGTGGTTTCCTGTGATTTCCGGCCTCGTTCATGCAGGAAAAGTTCTTCTATGACAAATTACTACGGGTAAAAATTACCACTTGGTATCAATATTAGTATTAATATCTGAGATGAGCCACATTTTACCAAACTATGTATCTCAGGATGTGTTCTAAGATAGTTTGGTCCCAAGGAGTAACGGAACCAGCAGGTGACATCTAGTTATTAAGAAAAGCAGAATTCAAAGGCCCAAGTAGGATCGCTGCTATCCCACTGAGGTATTCAATGCTCAATATCATAGAGAGGGCTTCGTTCATCTCGGGAAAACTTCTTCTATGACGAATTACTACAAGTAAAAATTACTACGAGAAAATTATTAATATCTGAGATGGGCTATAACAAAGCCCTTTACATTGTAATTGGAAAAGGAGTACTTAGAAAGGGCCACATCCTCCAAATATTATACGGACGAATGCTTTCATTGGTAAACAACTGAGGGTATAATGGGTGCGTATGTTCCACAAAGAGACACGGAAATCAAAATTTGGTATCATTACCACCCAGTAAACAGCGAATGATCCTGAGCTCAAGTATCCTTAGCAGTTTTACGAGTCAGTTAACAGAGTAGACATGTGAGCCGAACATAAGGGCGTTCTTAAGCAAAATGGACAAGTTGGACAAAATCAGCAACGACAACTCTGAAGTCGGTAAGCCAGAAATGCGGAAATCGGAACAGTTTCAGCACGGAATCGAGAGCCGTGTACCATCAACACATAGATGTAAACAAGCGCCATGAAAGTGCTAGGATTTTCACTAAAATCGTTTCTTTTGATTGAAGAGAAATAACTACAAATAAACATCTGAAGAAGGCATATATATGCATATATAAGTGAATATATGATAATAATATCTAAGATTACGCTACAATAAAGTACCTTTCACTTGGCAATGTGATGGAGGTGAACTCTAAAGTCGACTGATCAAAACCACACTGGACATGTTTCAAAAATGATACGAACGAATACTTTCCTAAGTAAACAAGAAAGGGATTGATGGGAAATTTATGTTGTAATCCTTTTACTTTATATAGGACATTTGATGCACATTTTTACAATTTCAACATTGAGTTCAGCCAATTTCTCTATAAACAGCAAACCAATAAAC